TGGGAATGTCGTTCGGGGAGCGCGTGCACTTACGCCGCCCCGTAACAGATTCTCCTGACTTTTCGGATTCTTTCGAGAATCCCTAATTATAGGTTATCTTAAAAAGGTCTGAGACATGCGCAGATAAAAGTGATAAGTGCACAGATTGCACGGTTTATATAGTTCGTAGCGGTCATCCGCATGCGTATAATAATTATCAGTTTCCCGTTACCACCGCTGGAGTTCTTAATTGGTGCGGTGATGGCTCATTAATTGTCACGATTTCCTTGTCCGCGTCGGAGGTGGGCTTGATAATTGCGCGACAATTATGCTCGTTGTTTTCAGAGTTGTTACTGCGCCCGGCCCTTCCCATGTGGTTTATTTTCTTTCTCAGACAATGTCTCAGTACGCAATATAGGAATGCCAAATTGTTGCGCTTGTTAATGGACTGGGTACCTGAAAACCATGACTCGAGCAGCTCGCGACTCACGCGGTTGTCCCCTCTTGCGGGGATTTTGGCCTCGTTAAACTTGAAAATATGACCGGGTCTCGCTGAATGAGCTACAACCTGAGATTTAGCGTCTTTCTTCCTCACCACCGCTGCATGCTTGGCCATTCGCGTCCGAAGTAATCTCCCGGTTTCTCCGACGTAGTTGCTTTGTTAATGCGCCAGATCCGGTAAACGACTCCAGCCGTTTCCTGTCGTGGCAGTGGGTTTTTCGGTCTCATAACCCGGCGCCTAGTGGTTGCTTGTGGCCTGTGCGCAAATCCAAGTGGGGTAAGCAGGCGGCTGACCATTTCCGATACATTTTTATACGTATAAAGGGCTTGCCAAACCTTTGGGCAAGGTGGATTTGGTTTCTTCTCTCGTCTGCGTATGCCTTGGTTAACAAAATTGTGCGGGTATCCATTCGTTCTCAGTACCCGTCGAGGATATCGTGATTCAGCAACGTTTTCTTCCACTTCGCTGCAATGTGTCTCAACGCGCCGGTAAAAGGCTCCATCGTAACTGCGTTTGTGACAGATCGGGTGGTCACTGTTGAAGTTCAGGACTTGCATAGTGTTGGTTGCTTTCCTAAACACGTTAGTTTTTAGGCCACCACTTTCTTTGCGATAAATGAAGACATTCACGAAGCCCTGCTGGTTGTTTTCTTCTTCCCCCGTCGTAAATTTAATGTCCGGACAGACGGTGCTTAGACGTTTTTTGAATATCAGCACCTAATCCCGCTCAAGTACGACGAAAGTGTCGTCCACATACCGAGCCCAAATCTTTAGTTTGTGCTGTTGGAAAACCAGCGACCCCAACCGTTGCAGGACCGCCTCTGCTAAGAGTCCGGAAATGGGCGAACCCATGGGCCTGCCCTCCATCTGCTCGGAGATACTTCCGTCAAACGTGAAGTACGTCCTCAGACAGAACTTTAGGAGCTGTAGGATTTGGGCGTGCCGGGGCGATTTTCCGTTTCTTTGTATTTCTCTCGTAGGAGTAATTGGATAGACTCGACTGCCAGGTTCTGTGGAATACATCTGTGGAAAAAATTACATCGACCCTACAAGATCACAGTCGATATTTCCCCACGCTCCTCCT